CTCTCGTCACATCGTGCGTACGTAGCCCCCACAAATAGGAGCACATAACCAATTAACTCACCTATGGGGACAATTCCCTCTTACAAGGTTAGAAAGGAGACTCACCTCGCTCCGAAGATCCATAACCGGCATTCCACGCCTTTCCAAAGACTCGAATCGATGCACAATGCTCCAAAACTAGCCAATAATTATGCAAATCCATTAATATATGATCAATTACTCATAACAATCAAATTTATAACAATTCCTAACCCCGATCGAAAAGTTGACAAAATCGCCCTCGGGCCCACGCGCCCGGATTCCGAAATTTTTCGAAGATAACGTTTACCCATAACCTCACGAACTCAAATATATAATTTACTCTTAATTCCATGTCCAAAATTATGGTAAAAATCCAAAATATAAATTCCTAGGTCTCCTACCAAAAACCCACAATTTCTACCAAATTTTCATGCTCAAATTCATATATAATCCAAGTATTAACTCATAACTAGTAGAATCCACTTACCTCATATTTGGTGGTGAAAATGGTACCTCAACGTTGCTCCAAAATCGGCTCCAATGGAAGAAATGGGGTTGGAATGAACCCAACCCCCGATTTAAAAGAACTCTCTGCCTCCAGCATTTCCGCACCTGCGGTCACTTGACCGCTTCTGCGGTTCCGCAGGTGCGGTTGCAATACCACTTCTGCGGTCCTCCTCCAGTTGCCCTAGCCCGCTTCTGCGCCGCACCGACCGCATTTGCAATCACGCACGTGCGGAATTTCCTTTGCACCTGCGGCCTCTGACTCCTTCACTTCTAACCGCTTCTGCGGTTCCCTTCCTCGCTTCTGCGGGGCCGCTTCTGCGGTGAACCCTCCGCAGAAGCGGTTACACCACCAACCAGACCCCGTTTAGCTCATCCTTCAAGTCCCAATCAATCCGTTAACCATCCGGAATCCATCCGAGGCCCCCGGGACCCCAACCAATCATACCAACCAGTCCCAAAACACATTACGGACTTGCTCGAGGCCTCAGATCATATCAAAGAACGCTAAAATCATGAATCGACCTCCAATCCAAGCTTAATGAACTTTAGAATTTCAAACTTCTACATTCGATGCCGAAACCTATCAAATCACGTCTAATTGACCTCAAATTTTGCACACAAGTCATATTTGACATTANTAAAAGCAAGTGATGACCTTTTGGGCCATCACATCGTCTTTCCCATTTAAACACTCAAACTTGTGAAACCTATAACTAATAAAAACATTTGACCGTTGACCTATCCCATGTGGTGTCAGTTGGTCCTAGTCATCCTGCTGCGTGAGTCTCACGACATTTAGGAGCGTGAGAGCCCCCTTCCCAACGCCCAACGGTAAAAAAATGGGTCCTATTGTCTTACAATTAGAGCATGTCATTGGTGTCCCTTTCCTGATCTATTACCAAACTTCTTTTTAGGTTCATCTTGAGCTATTTTTTTATTTTTCTTAGGTCTACCAGGCATCTTGGTAATTATAGGAGGCTCAACAGTTGGATTCTGTGTTGATGGCCGCATCTCCATGTTGGTTACTGGTTGTATGTAACAACTAAAAGCCTTCAGGTATGTTTCTTTCCTGTACCAGTGGGTTACATAGTTAGCAGGCTCAAATCTCTTAAAAAACATTGCACATATTGCATGGGAGCATGGTATTCCTTTGAGCTGCCATGATCTACATGTGCACGTATTGTTGGAGAAGTCAACAATATGTTTGTAAATCCCATGTTGTATCTCATACCCAGTATCCCCATTCCATTTAAATTCATGCTTAACAGCTTCCTCTATGTAACCCATTGCCATAAGAGATACATCAGAAATGCACCTTGTTGCAAATTCTCTCATGGTAATCATCCGCTCTATCACCTTCACTTTAATCTCTTCTAACATGGTTATGATAGACTTGTGCCTAGCAGACAAGATCCAACTGTTAAACGTCTCACACATGTTGTTCTCCACAGAATCACATTTACTCCAATCTTTGAAGAATGCTCTACACCAACATTGTTTTGGGTATCTCAGCAAATCCTCAATGATCTTACTATCACCTAATTCTGCCAACTCATCTATCTTAGCCTTCAAATATTCTTCAAATGAAGCCCTTGCACGGGCCCAGAACTTTTTCTTCTTTCCTCTCCTTTCCACTTTTGTTTCCAGTTGCTCCACATGTGTCTTTCACACATTCTGTGCTCAGCATTTGGCAACAACTCAGAAACAGATGCAACAAGTCCCTTAAGCACCAAGAAAAACAATTAGAATAGCAGAAACATATATAAAGTAGACAAGTAACTAAAGGAAGAACATGGGTGAAGTATATACCTTCTGCATATCAGAAATGATGGTCAGCCCCTCACCTTGGGATTCTGTGAGCTGCAGATCATGTATCAGGCACCTAAAAAACCATGACCATGTGTGCTTTGTCTCCTTTTCAACCACTGCCCAGGCAACATAGTACATTTGATTGTTACCATTTTTACCAATGCATGATAGTATCTCACTCTTACACACACCCTTCAGAAATGCTCCATCAAAGCCAATAAAATTTCTACATCCTTCCAACCAACCAACTTTGAAAGCATGTAGACAAATATAGATACCCACAAACACCTCTTTACTAGGTATTTTCTCCTTGGAGGTCTTCACAACAACAGTGCTGCCAGGATTTGTAGACCTCAACATGTCAGCATAATCATATATTCTAGCAAACTCCTGCTTGTAATCACCAAGATACTGACCCATGACCTGATGTTTAGCCCTGACACATATGGATTTTCCCACATACACACCATACTTTATCCTAATCAAATCTTGCAGCTTCCTAAGCTTTATGTCAGGTTGGTTGATAATCTTGTCCTTGAAATGTTTAGCTACCCATGCTGTATTATCCATCTTGTTTCTAGTTGCTCTAAAACACTTATGAACATGATAATAGCTGCTGACAATGAAATTCCCTGTGTGTCCCTACAAACTTCCCAAAATATGCCATCTACATCTTGTTGAGTTCACACATTTTGCCCTAGCCCTATGTTGCTCATTAGGCCTGAACTTAATTTGAACTCTTCTTTGTACAGCATAATCTTGCAAAGCGGATCTAAACTGTTTCACATTTTCAAACACCATTTCCAACTGGAAACAAATTTTCTTACAAGCAACATCAAAGTATACCCTGCTGCTGTATCTTCTTGGTTGAGAGTTATGCACCCCATCTTCTTCAACTACTTCATCATCTGTATCCTCACTACCTGGATCTGAACTGTCCAGATATTGCTCATCCCCTCCCAACTTTCCAGCATATTTGGATCCCCTATCTTTATACATGTCTTCAAAACTAGGGTCTATACCTACAGGTCCACTAGGTATCTCATCAGTATTAACTTCACTAGATCTTAATTTACTACTCTTTGTATTCACTTTAGCCTGTCTAGCAGCAACAACTTCAGGTTCTAGGTCACTTGTCTCTCCAACAATATCCTCATCAGCACCATATAATGACTCATCTCTATCATCATCATCATCATCTTCAGAAATAGCCTCATAATCCTTATCCTCACTCTCAGTACTTAGCTCATCACCCTCAGTATCACCCTCAACATCACCCTCAGAGTCAGTTGCTAAATAAAAGTTATAGAACTCACCTTCATCTTCACAAGACTCTTCTATTTCAGAATCACTTTCAGCAGCCCCCTCTTTACCCTTCCCATGTGTGTTATCACCCCTATTTATATCATTGTTAGGTGAATGTGTTGCCGTAGCATTAACATCACTTGTTTGCCCATGTGGCATTTTATTAAAGCCAAATGGCTGAACATCAGTGGGGTCCATATTTAAACCGCCACTACTTAACATTTCATCTAGGTCCAAATCAAGACATGGTGTATTAATTGTGTGACATATATATACACATCAATAAATTCCTCATCCTTAAGGCCTTCATAGAAAGCTAACACATCAACATCATATTTCAGAAATCTAAATTCTCCTTTTTGGTTAATTTTACATGCATATTTATCTACTGTTAAGTACCTCATATCCTTAGCCCAATCATGAAAACGAATTATATGTAATTCAACAATGTCAGCTTGAAGAACAACTGGCCAAGTTTGCCCATTTACATACCTCATAAATGGGTCAGCCACTAACCACCGTAGATGGTGAAACTGTAATTTCACATAGACCCATTGAAACCTATAAAAAAGGGGGGCCAAGTCAGATACACTATAACCCTAAAAAGCCATAAACTTTAACAAAGTGGGAAAAAAGAATATTTTGATATTCAAAAAAGCCCTAATTGTTTAACCCTAAATGCCATATCACTTATGAAAAAGACAAACCCCTAAAATAAAGTGAATATACGACTGTTTTCCCCAAAACCCTTGTCACGACCCAAAATACACTAAGGGTCGTGATGGTGCCGGACACCATTGTCAGGCAAGCCAACACTAATTAGTTAGCAACTTCTTATTTTAGATAACTCTGAATTTACTTCTTTTATATATTTAAACAATAAAGAATAAGTTTCACTAAATAAAATAAAAATATCTTTAACAATTTCAAATACCGGATACTCCCATAGACATCCCAGAACCCGGTGTCACAAGTGCATGAGCAATTACTAAGAGGATCGAATAAAGTACAATCATTGTCCGGAATACAAATTGGACAGAAGTAAATACAATATGCTGAAAGAGACTACACTGGCTGCGGGTCGCCTCGAGAAATGCAGCTCACCTAGCCTCCGTATCATCCATGCTGCTACGCCCAGTAGACCGCTTGAAATACCTGTACCTGTGCAACAAAATACACAACAAGTGTAGTATGAGTATGAAAACAACGTGTACTCAGTAAGTATCCCACCTAATCTCGAAGAAGTAGAGACGAGAGGTCGACTTCGACACTTACTAGTGGTCCAATAATGGAACATCAATAATATGACAATTCTAGGATTTATACAAATATGATTGTAAATCAATAGAGCGACGCAAGTAAGCAATTCTTTCTTTTTTGCGAAATTTCCAAATTTCCTTATTCATCATTTATACATATTTTCTCAAGCCGGGAAGAAGCAATATCAACTTCAGTAAATTCAAGGCAAGCAATACAAGCATGCGCAAATCATACCGAGGTCGTACGGCCCGATCCAACAATATTTAACTGTGCACTGCCAGAGGATCGAATGGCGCGAACTATAGATGCATCTATTACCCCGCTCGCGAATCATACATGCGACGCGGTCAAATATAATTAAACAATTACCCTGCTCGCGAATCATACATGCGCCGCAGGTACACATAAAAACACACATTTTAACAGTCAGTCAAGACTTCATCAGGGAAGCAATTATTCAAGGGGGTGTGAACATTTCTTTTACAAGTCAAGAAAGTGAAGTTTAATCTTTTAAGAAATTCATTTACTCATTCGATGTGATTTAAGCAATTCAATCGGTCAATAAGATTACGGATATTCCAAGTATAGCATGCTTTTGGGTCCCAGACTACCCGGACTTAAACATAATAGTAGCTACGCACGGACTCTCGTCACATCGTGCGTACGTAGCC